AAAGAATGGACATAAAAGAGTATGATAGATCAATTACAGGATTTACATAATAATCCAATATAAGTCACGTGGAACTCAGACACACTGCAAGAACACTGCCGCTACCTCTCCTTGCAAACTTGGAAGAACAACAACACTTCCATTTGTAAAGTATTTCTGTGTGCATTATCTGATTTAATCCTTAAAACTACCAAGAGAGAGGTACTGGGGCTATCGGCACTGCACAGAGGTGTGCTGAAGGTCACAGCCTTCAGAATTGGGACCAGAAGCCCCCTCCTTATTGCTTCCACATTGTGGGAAATCCAGGTTTTCCTAACAAAAAATAGTTTAAAAAACAGAAAGACAAACAACTAAGAGCCAGCTGCAATCCCTATCGACACCTTCTGGGATTACTAAAAATAAAAAGAGGTGAGGGCCAAGGAGAGCGCAGTGTGCTGGCTGGTGCTCTCTCTGGACAGGAGGTCCAGCAGCTGCCCTGGGCTCACCTTGCAGACAGCTCTGCAGATGGGGTGGGAAGGGGAACTGGCCCTGCTGAGTGAGCTCCTGGCCCCTTCTGGCACACCAGGCTGGAAGGCAGGACAGCTGGTGTGTGCCTGGAAGGACCCTGGCTGCCCTGGTCCCTTGGTGAGAGGCACTGAATGGTCACTCCAGCCCTCAGAGGTGGGCACGCATCAGGCTCCTCTCCCCATGTCAAGACAGGGACCCTCCCAGCAGTGACATCTTCAGGAAGTCTCCCTCCTGCCTTCTAAAACAACAACAACAACAACAACAACAACAACAACAACAGGCCTTCTACACAGAGGGGAAACCAGGGCAGCAGAGAGCCTGGCCCTGAGTGCGTTCCAGCAGGGAGGCCAACTACTGAGGGCCTGGCCAGATTGGGAGGCTATGGAGCTCAGTGGTTAGAGGCTCCGGCTCTGAGGTGCCAGAGACCTTGGTTCTGATTCCAGCACTCCTGACAGAAAAGGGAGCTGGACCCAGACAGCTGAACACAGCCCATTAATCACATGGGCCCGCCTGTCTGCAGAGCCCCTCCCGACGCCATGATGAGGGCCAGCCAGGGTCGTCTCTGGGATGAAGATGGCACAGTGACTCTCCTTCTATGGTTCATGCTGCTTCAGGAGACCCCAGTCGGGGTACCCAGGGTAGCTGTGACTCTCAGAGGCTCACAGGCTGGATGAACGGGAGAAGCACCCCAGGTCAGGCTGCATGGGAGCTGGGTACCAGATCGCATCTTCCTTTCCTCCTCCCCACCCCCTCTGGCCTGTGCAGCAGGCTTGACTCTGCAGCAAACTCCTCTGGGCCAGAGGCTGCAGCATTTAAAAAAAAAAAAAAAACACTCACCCAGCATGGAGGATGGAGGGAAAGGGAGGGGAGGGAACTGGGGACGCCACTTCCACCCACTTAGATGTGTGTGATGGGGGTGGGGAAGACATCCAAATGACCTTGCAGCTCAGAAGTCCCTTTCCTGGGGCCTGCAGCAGCTCTGGACCAGGAACACTATTTCCCAGGCCTGGCTTGCAGCCCCTCCCTTCCCAGCATTCAGGGTGCTGGCTTGGGTTACGCAGGTGTCACTCCTGCCTAGGAATCAGCTAGGGTTGCACGACTGCAGAGGTGGGGGGCAGCTGGGATCTACCAGAACCTCTGGCAGGGGCAGAGCACAGGGTGGAGGAGTGAGGGAGAATGGCCTGTAGTGTACGTGGGGCGAGGAGTTGGGGAGAATGGTCTGCCCTGCACTTTGCCCCTCTGCTTAGCAGTCAGACTGTGGGGCTCTGAATCCTGCCCTGGAAAAGTTCCGCCCACACTAAGCCCCACCGCAGCGGCACTCGCCTGCTAAGCCCCCCAAAGTCCGGCAGCAGGTAGCGTTTCCTCCTGCCTGTTTCCCATCTTCGTTCAGGGCATAGTGGCAGCCTAGGCCCTGCTGTGCTGGGTACAAGGCTCCTGGCCGTGCTAGGGTATACTGCAGGTTAGCGGTGCCTGTCCCCTCTCTCCAGCCTGAACCACAGGCAGGGGGTCCCTGAGGGGCTGGCTCCAAAGCAGAACCCAGAGGGGACAGCACAGAACAGTGCTGGGGCCAGCAAGGCTGCACCAGGCCACCTTCTTGGGATGCAGACAGAATGTGTCCTCTGGCACGCAGGCACACAAAATTGAGAGAGACAGAGAGAGAGCAAGCGAGCTCATTCTGCTGCCAAAGCACCCTGTGTCCAAGGCCCTCTTGCTGGGGGCTGGGCGCAGCAGCAGGCAGTCCCTCCCTGCTACCAGCTGTCTCAGGCCTCTGTCTGTAAATGGCAGGTAAACAAGCCAAACAGTGAGGCCCAAACCCCAGGACAGCTGCAGTCCTGCTGGCCACTTCTGACAAGGGGCGCAGACTGAACCAGCCCCACTTGGGCCTCGGCATGACAGGCTGCAAGCCCCCAGGACTAGTGGATCCCCCACTGCCTGTCCTGCGCTGAGGCCCCCTTTGCCCCTGGGCTGAAGGTACAGGGCCCAGCTGAATGAAAGGCCTTGCACTCTGGAGCTTAGGAGCAGCGGACCCTCCCCCAGAGCCCCGCTTGGCAGGCAAGGCTGGGCCTGCTTTAGTGACAACAGGGCCCCGGTTGCCTCTCCCTCCTGGACCCTGAGGATAGCCAGTCCAGGCTGTTGTATTGCTGTTGAAACCCAACATCCTCAGACTGTCTCGGCAAATAGACTTGCCCGGAGCTCCGCCTGTCTTTCTTTCTTGTCTTCTGTTTTTCTTTCTCCAAAATCCAAAAGTACCTTTGCTAGGATAATCAGGCCTGCAATCTGCCTGGTCCCTGGCTCCATGGGACCGACAAAGAACCCATATATGACACAAGATACCAAGAAGGAAACAAGGTAGGAGGGTTGGAAAAACTAAGAGGCAAAGCACCAACAGATAAACTCCAGACATCACAGCTCTTCCCCAGCCCAGGGTGGGGATAGGAAGGAGTTGCCAGAAAGGGGAGAGGGGAGGAGTCCTGGTATCCCAGCCTCACTGGGGATGGGGCCAAGGCCAGGTGGAGAGGTGCAGGTGCTGGCCTGCAGGCTGCAGCGGGGGCAGGGCCCCTCCCATTCTGCGCCTTGCTCTCTGCACCAGGTGCAGCTCACTTCTCTGAAGACAAAGCAGGGATAGGCCCAGCACACGTGCCTGCCAGGATATCACACACACACAGGTGCGGGAGGAAACCTACGGCCGGAGCCCTGGCTGAGGACAGGGAGGGGAAGCTTGCAAGGGCTGGAGGACAATTCCCTGAGACCCACGAAGGCTCACTGCAGGAGACAGGGCCTCTTTTCTGCTGTGGATTCTGGAGTAGAGAAACCCAGTGCCTTCTAGAGCCCAGCAATGTCCTTCAAGGCCTGGCTGGGGAAGTCCTGCTTGGCCTCACACCCATCCCTCATGTCGTCCCCCGACTGCTCTGCCTGCCTGCAACACCTGTCACCCATATTGTTTTCTTTTTCAGAGATGGGGTCTCACTACACTGCCCAGGCTGGTGTCCAATTCCTGAGCTCAAATGATCCTCTCACCTCTGCCCCCAGTAGCTGGGACTACAGGCACACCACTGTGCCTGGCTCCATCTTGGCGTCTGTCCTACCAGCCCGTGTGATGAGATCATCACCCCCCACAGCACCCAAGAATCTGCGCAGTATTAGGAAGCCATATCTGAGTGGCTGAGTCTCGTAGCTCACTGGCATCTCAGCCCCACAGAGAGCTTCTGGCACTAAATACACATTCAGAGAGGAATGGAGAAACAGCTGAAGAGAGAAACCAAGGGGAAAAAAAGAACGAGAGAAAATGGCCCAGAGAAAGAGCAAGGAACAGAGAAAAGGAGGACAAACCTCCTGGCCCACCCCAGTTCCAGGGCTCTGGGCCCTGCACTGTGGCGGCATGCACTGCGGGGGCTGGCGGGGGGTGGCACGGTGGCCTCGGGTGCTCCCGCTGCAGCTGTGGAAAGTGGCCGCGGGGATGAGCTGGCCACTGACACAGCGCTGGCAGCACCAGGCGGCAGCGCCAGGTCCGGGTGCTGGGGCCAGACTGTTGCCCCCAGAATCAGGCTCCACCACCTTCCACCATGGGCTGTGGACTCGCCACCATCCTCATCTGGAAGGAGGCTAATAACAGCGCCCACCTCACCCGGCAGCTGGGGGAACGGGAACACAGTAAACATTAGCTGTTATCATTACTGGGCAAGAGCCAGGGCTTTACATATTCACGGTCAATGCTCCAAAACTTTGCTACCATCACGAATGCCAGGTCCCAAAGGGACATTAGCTGTCCTTGTTGACAGGACGTACTCATCTCACAGCTGCAAAGAGTAACATGCTGAGGCCACCCAGCTGAAAGCAGAGGTGGGCCTGATGCAGGCCCCCCACCTTCCAGGTGCTTACTCAGCACATCTGAGGTGTGTGGCAGGTGCCGGAGAGGAGGTGCCCTCCTGCAGCCTACAGGCTGGCAGGAGAGACAGGGTAGACAAGGACAAAGCAAGGGCAACACCGTGCAGGGCAGGGGAAGGAGGCGTGCGGCACCATGAGGGTGAGGGGAGTGGGCCTGCAGGGCTCAGAAAGCCTTCGTAGAGGGCCATGGAGCTGAGAACTAACATGAGAGAGGGGTCAGGAGGTGAGGGGGACCCAAGGGGCAGTGCCCAGGCAGGGGCGCCACAGCTGCAAGCACCGCAGTCAGAGAAGCCCTCACACAGCTCCCACAGTCTCTACGCACTTGGGAACCCGGGGGAACTCCAGCCTCCACTGCGTGCCAGTGGTTTCCGGAGTCTGTGCCAGGCCTGCTTCTCTGGACTATATGCTCCCCACGGGCAGCAATGGCTACTTGGGCTTTGCCAACCAGCACCCTGGGGTTTAGTCCAGTTCAGAGCTGGGCACACGGCAGGCTCGAAGGGAGACCATACGCCCACAGAAAACCTCCCTCTAAGAAGTACCCAAGGCCTCACCGCAGACAGCAGGCAGGCAGAGGCTGAGGGACCCAGCACACAGGGCCACTCACACACCTTCGGCATCCACGGTCTCCTTCATGATGATCTCCACCCGCTCCACGTGGTGCCGGTTCCAGAGGCCGTCCAAAGCCTTGCGGTTCTGGTCTCGGAAAGGCAGGATCTGCGCCACAGCCTGTCGGGAGGAAGATGGTGTGCTGCAGGGTCCTCTCACGATGAAAGAGGAACCCTGGCCCCCAGGAAGGGCTCTGCCCACTCCATTCCCTTCTTAGACCAGAAGATGCCCTCTGAGCAATAGTTCTGGACTTCAGGGTCTCATGGGCCAGTAAAGCCTCCAAAAATTTGCAAGTGACCTCCAAAGGGTTATCAGATTTGTATTTTGCCAAGAAAAAGAATATTCAAAATTACATATCTTCTAGTATAACTATTTTTTAATAAAGATAGGTTTAACACCAAAAATGTAGCAAGAAAAGCTTCAAATTGAGCACATTCAGTATTTCTTCTCATCTTGCCATTAACAAGTGAAAACCTCCCCAGGAATGGTCCAGGTCTAAGGACCACTATTTAGGAATCTGGCTATGGGCAACTCCAGACAGGGTGTGATGGAAATCATGTCTCTGTTCTCAACAGCTGCCTGTGCCCACCCGCACCACCTGGGCTCAGTACCAGAACACAGGGCTGCTGTGCTCTCTGCTGGGGTTCCTGGGACAGGATGCCCCCAAGGGCCTCCAAGGCATTTTGAGTGACTGACATGTGTCACCCAGGAGGTTACCTCATGTTCCTCCCCAGGGCCTGGGCTTAGCTTCCCACTGCTCCCTGGTTTAAGTTCTTGTTGCCAACCTTCTGGCTCAACACAGAACTCAGGAAGAAAAAGATATTGAAAAAAAGTAGATGAGGCCAGGTGCAGTGGCTCACACCTGTAATCCTAGCACTTTAGGAAGCCAAAGTGTGCAGATCACTTGAGGTCGGGAATTTGAGACCAGCCTGACCAACATGGTGAAACCCCGTCTCTACTAAAAATGCAAAATATTAGCCGGGCGTGGTGGTGTGTGCCTGTTACTTGGGAGGCTACTAGGGAGGCTAGGGTGGGAGAATCACTGGACCCAGGAGGTGGAGGTTGCAGTGAGCCGAGATCATGCCACTGCACTCCAACCTGGGTGACAGAGAACGACTCTGTCTCAAAAAAAACAAAAAAATGTAGATGAGAAGAAAGCTCATTCTAATTCCCACAGCACACCCAACAGGAAGCCAGATCCAGACACTGGAGTCCCTGGGCCACCTCTACAGGGAATGCAGGGCAGGCGTGAGAAGGCAGAGCCCAAAGGACAAAAGAGGCCAGATACATGGACAAGGACCCAACAGTCCTGCCTGCTGCTGTCTTTCCTTTGACCCCTCACCTCCTGCCCACTTTCAGGAGACCATGGGAGCTCTGAGTTCACAGTGCCCTGGGGCCCAGCTCCATAATGAGTGGGCAGCCTTGTTGCTGGGGTCTGCCACCACCCAGCTCCTACTCTAACCCTGGCAGGCTCCGCGCTGATGCTCACCTGCTTGCCCAGGTAATGGTCCACCCGGTACATCTCCTCCTCCTGGAAAAAGCTCCCGAGTTCTGTGGCCAACTGCTGGGCTGAGAGGTGGTCATGGCCAAAGGGTTTCTCAAGAACAACCCGCAGCCAGGCGCCTGGGCCTGGCCGGCAGCTGCTGTTGATGTTGCGGGCAATGTCTGCATAGGCGAAGGGCGGCACTGAGAAGTAGAAGATCCTGCCAGCCTCCTGGAGGCCCGCGGGCTGGAACTGTGCCTCAATGTCCTTGTTCAGGGCCTGATAGTCCTCGGCCGTCTTCAGCTGGTGGTACCGGCTCAGCTGCAGGAACTGATCCTTGTGCTCTGCACAGTGACTGGGTTCCATGTCCTTGGGGCAGGAGAGGGATTCCAGAGCCTTGGCCATGAGCTCTTGGCCCCGCTTGGGGGCTGTCAAAGCAGCTCCATGGAAGCTAAAACTGTGGCCCCTCCCTGCTTCATCCAGGTACAGCTGGAACAGTCCCTGCCACAAGTACTTCTTGGCCAGGTCCCCAGTTGCTCCCAGCAGGATGATGGAGACGTGTCCCTGGAGCTCCTGGGCCTGCAGACAGCCCAGAAGGGCCACACACATCGCCACTGTGAGCATCTTCCACATGCCGGGGGGCCTGGAAAGCACAGAGAAACAGACGAGGAACAAGGAAGGATCAGACATGGTTCAGGTGGCCGTGATGTGAAGCAAACATTTCCTGCCTGGCAAGAAACCACCACCACGTGTTCCTTAAGAATAGGTTAGAGGCCCACAGCTCATCCCTCCCTCCTGGCAGCTGGGCTTCTGTACCAGGAAGTCAGTGGGTAGGGAGCCTGCCCTGTAGATGGGGACTCTGCCTGGGAAAGTTAGAGGCCACATGCTAGAGGTGAGTCACTTTGCTACCAGGAGCATGGGAAAGTGGCAAAGGCCACCAGGGAGGGCCATGGGCCTGGGAGTGGAGCTGTCCGTTTGATGACCACGGCCGGTCTCCTTCAGGAGACCTGGACACAGGTCACCTGGACAAGCAGGGCAGCCCCAGCCTAGGAATAGCTGCAGGTCCTTAGGCGACAGCTGCAACAGTGAGAGGGTAGAACCACCTCCTCTCACCTCTCACGTTCCTCTTCTCCACGTCTACTGGGCTCCGACTACAAAATGCTGACTAATAACTTCAGCTGCATAGTGACAGAAAACATAGACTCCAGACAGACTGCCTGAGTCTGAATCCCAGTACAACCCCTTAGTAACTACACAATTATTTAACTTGGCTGTACCTCGGTTTTCTCATCTGAAATGGGGGTAACAGTGGTACTTACACCACAGAGTTGTTATAAGGATAAAAGAAGTTCATGCTTATAATGCGCTTAGGCCTATGCCTGCTGCCTATTAAGCACAAAGTGGTAGGTGTCATCCTGGAAGAGTGATAATAGCTAACACTTAGTGCTGGCACTAAGTACTTATGTGCATTAGAGCTCACTGAATCCAGACAACAATCCTGGAAAGAACCACATGGGGTGGGTTCTGTTACAGTTTTCTCATTCTGCAAATGGAAAAGCTGAGGCTTGGGTCAATGAGGGTCCCAGGGTAAGAAAGCAGGGGAGCTGGGACTGACACTGTACAGCCACTGCAGGCTACAACCTCCCCCAGGGAAGCAAACCACCTGAGCTAGTGTTCAGCCTAAACTGAAGGAGCTGATGTGCATGAGAGGTAGAGGCCTAGGGTGGGTCACAAACGCACCAAGCATTTGTTTTTTCTGGCCTTCTGTTCTAACAAAGGTTGTAGGGCTTCATGTGCTGAATGCTTACTCCTCAGCTCTCCAGCTCTCTAGTTTCCAACCAAGGCCAGTGTTGGAGGGAAGGAAAGAAGGAAGTGAAGGGGAAAGTAAGCATGGCCGGCATGCCCATTGGAACTAGTGGGAAATCTATGGTGGAAATGGGGCCCAGCCTGCAGGTGGGAGCAGTGAAGAAGGAACTGAGATGGCTGATTAGCACCTGCTATATGTCAGGCATTTTATCAGGTAAAGGATTCACAAAATCTTTGGCAACTTTAGGAAGCTGTAATCTGGTAATACAAATGGGGAAACTGAGGTTTAAAGAGATAACTTACAAAGGCCCCACAGAACCGGCCCAATGACCTCTCCACCATCCGTATACAGAGGAGACAAATCTGCCTCTTGACCCTGACATCAGACCCCCTCCTCCCACCCCCTTTGCCTTGTCCTCATCTCTCTCAAGTTCCATCTCCGAGAGGGTCCTAGCGAGTGACCAACCCAAGATGAGGCCCCAACAACAGCGTCTGAGCCAGTGCCTACAGGACACATGGTGTGTCCATTACTAGAGCTTTAACTAGAGGATCGGGGCCACGAGTGGCTCCCCAGCCTTCTTCTCCCACGCTCCCTGTATCTGCACTCACCCCTAAAAACACACACGGACCACAGGACCATTCTGCTCTTTCCTGCTGCTTTCCAGTCCCTGTCTTTGGCCCTTCAAGCGTTTTTTCCTCAACCGGCAATCTCGCCCCTGTCTGGAGGGAAGGAGAAGCTGCAAGGTCAGTGCGGGAGAGGGGCAGCGAGAAATCTGAAGCTCAGAGAACAGCCTGGAGAAGGAGGAGCCGCCAGCTGGCAGGCTGCGCTTCAGAGCTGCTGATGGGACCCTGGTAGCCAGCGCTCCGGACGTGCCTGGTACAAAGGGAAGAGCTAAGGCCCCCAGAGTGCTGGCATGGGCAGGTGGGGGAGACCCAAGGGCCAGCACTCCTGCCCCCACCCCAGAAGACTGCAGGCAGCTGTGACAGATGGCCACCTGGCCTGAAGTGACTCCTGGCCTTCTGTTTAATCCTGTTCTGACTCAGGTTTGCCACAGTCTTCACCGACCAATCCTGTTGTGGGTCCCCAGTTCTCAGGCTGGCCTCCCTTATCTGTTACTTATGTTCCCAGCACTCCTATAAACAAATCCAAGATATTGGGTATTACAACATGGTTGCTTACTCTGTGGTTGCAAAACAACCAGAGAACAACTCTTTCCTAAATGAGCGTGGGTGGTATGTGTATTTGTTTTTTTATGTTTTTTAACCTTAACAGTATTTCTTAAAATTTTAATGAGCATTTGAATTTTCTGAGGATCTTTTTAAAAGGCAGATTCTGATGCAGAAGGAGAGGTACCTGAGGTGCTGACAGCTGGTCCAAGAGCACACTTTGAGTAGCAAGACTCTGGAATACTGAGCAGTGAGTACTAGAACAAAGAGTTCTAGAGCAATGACTCTCATCAAAGGAGGGCATCAGAATAAACACGCACGCGTCGCCTCCTGCTCCCTTTCCCAAGACAAAGACATTCCGATTCAGTAGGTACAGGGCAGGGCCTAACACTGGATTTCGAAACAGTCTCAAACGGTTTCATTTGCCCATCCCACTGTAAAAACTGGTTGTTCCTGAGTCCATTAATAATACCTATGCTTACCAAGTAGTTAGCGTGTACCAATGACTTAAATGCACCGTCCCAGTCGTTCCTCACAACAGTCTCCTGGAGGGGGTTCTGTGAGGAGTCTTATTCTACAGACAAGGAAACTGGGAGGTGAAGGAAACTGTCAAGCCACAAAGTCTGGGCCCTCAGTCACGACGCTAAACAGCTTCCTTAGTCAAGCAGAAGAATGCGGCATTTGGGTCCAAGGACCGGGTCAAGATCACTGCCTAGCTTCGTGATCTAATTAAATCAGCTAATTAGGCCAGGCACAGTGGCTCAAGCCTATAATCCCGGCACTCTGGGAGGCTGAGGCAGGAGGATTGCTTCAGCCCAGGAGTTCCAGACCAGCCTGGGCAAGGTAGCGAGACCCCCATTTCTACAAAAAATTTTTTTTAATTAGCTGGGTGTGGTGGCACATGTCTGTAGTCTCAGCTGCTCAGGAGGCTGAGGATCACTTGAGCCCAAGAGGTCCAGGCTGCGGTGAGCCGTGATTGAACTCCTTTCTATAACAGCAGGTAGATGATTAGAGCCTTAGGGCCTACATTTCTTCATCTATAAAACAGGGCAAGTTACCATCAACTGGGGGGCGGGATTAATTGAGATGATACACGTGACAAAACTGCTGCACAAATGTTAATTAATTAAGTTAATCAAATGCAAAGTGCCTTCCTGGCCCCCAAGGGTGGCATAATACCATTGCTGTCAGGAAAAACACTGTGAACCTCCCACCTCTCCTGGGGCTAGAGCCAGGCCCTGCAGACAGCACTGAAGAACACACCCTGCTTCCTAGCTTACTCCTGGCTAGTCTGGAAGCAGCAAGAGGAAGGCTGGCTCGGTCATCCTCTCTGCTGCCCTGACAGAGAAATAAGCAGGCCCAGAGAAGCCCAGTTAAGTCAAAGTCAGGAACAGGGGGACCCCAGCCTCTGGGGCAGAGGCACAGTCAGCTCCAACACATCTCCTGGGCTCACACCTCCCCCTCAGCTGCAAGGCTCTGCTTCAGAAGGTTTTTTTCTGAAGCACTTCTCTCCTCTGCCTCCTTGCCTGCTCTGAGAGGAATGGGCTGTGAAATAAATCTTCCAAAATTACAAACTTGAAGTTAGCCAAAGAGCCTGGAAGTAGCCTTTCAAAGGCTTATCCAACTACGAATCACTTCTTTTTTAAAAATGGATAAATCAATGACAAAATCTTTAGTGAAAGTTTGAGCAGCTGTAAGAGTGGGCATCGGATTGGGAACTGGAATGTGTGGTGCCTCTTGTCAGAGCCCTGCCTCTAAACAACGACATAACCTTGAGCAAGTCATTTAGCCTGGCTGGGCCTCAGTTTCCTCTTCTAGGAAATGGGAGGGTGAGATAAAGGCTCTGTGTGATCTTTCAGTGTCCCTAAGTCCTGTTTTCCGAGAAAAGAAGATCCGCACCCTATTTTCCGGGAGCTGCCCTCCACATTTCTATAAGGCAAAAGAGTGCTTCGAGCTTTGACCTCAACAGCCAGGCAGGGAAACAGAGAACTAAAATATGAAGCCAAGGGCTGATAACTGTGCGTCATTCAGCAGTTAAGACAAAGCTCTTTGAAGCTATGACTTACGTGTGTGGAGGATGCAATTTCATTTACAATTCTTATTTAAGATACTTGCCAGAAATACACTCACTACAAAACAAAGTGCTGCGGAGGCATCCTGTAGGTAGGTGGAAAAGACGTTCTTCTGACGGCTCATCTTAGAGCCAGGGCTGACTGTGGGCACACGGGCCCAGTCCTGGGCACCCTTCACTGTCTCTAACTCTAATCCTGAGAGGCTCCTACCAGTCATCCTGGGAGAGACTTACCAGTTAGAGGGCTCTGCTAACATCCCAGAAGGTGGGAACACTGGCTTAGCCAGCCAGGAGGTTTGGATCAGAATTCAGGTTCCGGCCTTTGTTTTCACCCAAGCGGAAGAGGCATGCAGCTGTCCCCGACCAGACCGGGCACAGACAGACCCAGCCTATGCTGAAGCTCCAGCCGCAGAGCGTTTTTTGGTAAACCACAGGAGGATGCAGTTCTAATCCTCGGTGCCCAGCAGACAAGGGGTGGGAGAGAGGAGCTGGGAGGTAAAGGTCAATGTCTGCTGCTGCCCTATTCCCTCTCCCAGCCTTTGACGTTACCTTCTGTGCGCCAGGCAGGAGGAAGGGAAATTTTCTTCAAACCATGACCCATGAGTTTGGAATTTTTTAAAAAGAACATGTGGGAGTAAAACAAAAGTTCAAACTAAAGATCATTTTAAACTAAAGCACAAGGTGATGTGCCTCGTCTTTTCACAATAGCCAACCCAAGTTTTTTGTCTGTTTGTTTTTGCAGTCTGCCTGTTCTGTCCATTTATGCTGAACCCATCAATGTAGATAAAAATCAAGCCTGCTGTCAATGACCTCCGATCTGCATTCACTGCCCTCAGGGCCAGAATGGGGACAAAAGCTTCCAGATCAGGCTCTGGGGTCCTTGTTCCTCTCTCATCTCAGAGAATCCTCATTCCCATCTTTAGGTACCTGTCCTGGGTCAATATAACCAGGGATGTGCTGGAGCCACCTCATAACTGCACGCAACAGTCGACTACTAAATTTCTAGGATTTTTCAAGTCAGTTGTTCAACATGGCCATTATTAAAAAGTTATATAAATGTATAATTAAATAGCCAGGCACGGTGGCTCATGCCTGTAATCCCAGCACTCTGGGAGACCGGGATGGGAGGACTACTTGAGCCCAGGAGTTCAAGACCAGCCTGGGCAACATGGAGAAACCCCGTTTTACTAAAAACACAAAAATCAGCTGCGTGTGGTGACAGATGCCTGTAATCCCAGCTACTTGGGAGGCTGAGGCAGGAGAGTCACTTGAACCCAGGAGGCAGAGGTTGCAGTGAGCCGAGATTGTGCCACTGTACTCTAGCTTGGGTGACAGGGCAAGACTCTGTATCAAAAAAAAAAAAAAAATTAAATTAATTATATTAAAAAGGTAATAAATACTCAAAACTCATTACTTCCTAAACATCTCACTACATTTCACTAATATCTATGCTCTTGAAATTATTTATCTCCACTGCATCTATGAGATGAAGACATTCTACTGAAGTTGGCCAACGTGGGACTATTTACACCACATTTATTGGACTAGACTATGAATTAGACTATGAATTACCTCACAAAGTCCGCTGGTAGACATTACAGTACACAACTGCCTATCTGCCCAAGTCTCTGTCTACAGCCCAAACTTCCCCTAAACTCCAGACTCATCAATCAACCGCTACTCTCAGAGCATTAGCGGCGTGTTTGCCAGACTTAATATGTACAAAATTGAACTGCTTTGTCTCCCAACCTGCTTCCAAAGTAGTTTTCCCCATTTTCAGTAAATGGCAACTCTACCCTTCCAGGTGTTCAGACCCAGGAACCTTGGGGTCATCTGATCTGTCAGCAAATCCTGTAATTTCTATCTTCAAAATTTATCTAGAATCTGGCCGGGCGTGGTGGCTCATGCCTGTAATCCCAGGCATGGGATTACATGGGAGGGGATGTATGCCATGGGATTACTTTGGGAGGCCGAGGCGGGCGGATCATGAAGCCAAGAGATCGATCCCATCCTGGCCAACATGGTGAAACCCCGTCTCTACTAAAAATACCAAAAAATTAGCTGGGCGTGGTGGCACGCGCCTGTTGTCCCAGCAACTCAGGAGGCTGAGGCGGAAGAATCGCTGGAACCCAGGAGGCGGATGATGCAGTGAGCCGAGACTGCGCCACTGCACTCCAGCCTGGTGACAGAGCAAGACTCCGTCTCAAGAAAAAAAAAAAAGTATCTAGAATCCAATTGCTTCTCACCACCTTCTACCACGCCACTCTGGTGCCAGCCACTGTCATCTGTCTGGATTACTGTGGGAACTTCCTAACTGGCCGCCTCTATCTCCCAACCCTCTATGGTTAAGCCTCAGTGCAGCGGTCAGAGTGACCTTTTTATGCCAGATCATGTCATTCCTCTGTGCAGACGTCTGCAGAGTCCATACATTATGGCCTCCAGCCCTTTACGTCTTTGAGCACTTCTCTTACCATCCTGTCTGTCTAGGCTCTGGCTGCCCAGCCTTCTGCCCCAGGGCCTTTGCACTTGTTCTCTCGGCCTGGCCGACTCCCTCATGTTCCCCACCACGTCCACGTGGTTTACTCCCTCACTACCTTCAGTTCTTTGCTAAAATGTCATCTTCTCAGTGAGGCTTACTCAGACCACTCTAAAATTGTAAACCGCCCCCTCCCATCCTCCTCTCCTGCTTTATTTTTCTCCATAGCACATCGCTTTCTAATACACTGCATGATCATTACATTCGTTTTGCCTATTGTCTGCCATTCCTTTCCCCAAGACTGTGTGTGCCAATGAGAACAGGGACTTTTGTTTGCTTTTTTCTCCGCAGTACCTCCAGTATCCAAAACAAGGCCTGGCATACAGAAGGCGCTCTATAAATATCTGCCAAATGAACAAATAAATCCCATTTGCACAGGACCACTGTCATTTCTGCATTTGAAAGATGGCACAAAGGAACACGTCTCTAATGGTGACTTCAAGCAAAGCAACACAGCACACATTAGCAGCAGCTTACAACTTGAAACAACACTTTTAATAATAAAAGAGCTATTTATGGAGTATTTAACGATATGCCAAATGCTAGGCTATAAGTATGACAAGCATCAGACCATTTAAATCTTGCCACAACCCTAAGAAGTAGGTACCATGATTATCTCCACTTTAGCAGTGAGTAGAGAGGAAACTAAAGCAAAAAGAAGCCAAATAATGTGGCCAGGTATGGTAGCTCACACCTATAATCCCAGCACTTTGAAAAGTCGAGGCAGGAGGATCACTGGAGGTCGGGAGTTCAAAATCAGCCTGGCCAACATGGTGAAACCTCATCTCTACTAACAATACAAAAATTAGCCAGGCGTGGTGGCAGGCGCCTGTCATCCCAGCTACTCAGGAGGCTGAGGGAGGAGAATCGCTTGAACCCAGGAGTCAAAGGTTGCAGTGAGCTGAGATCACACCACTGCACTCTAGCCGGGGTGACAGAGCAAGACTCTATCTCAAAAAAGAAAAAAAAAAAAAAAGGTGACAGGATTTGAAAACAGGCAGTCTGGTCTCAGAGCTAACCTTCCTATAAAATGTAACTACATCCCTGAATGGCAAAATTTAAAACCCTGTATTAGTATAGATACCGAACAGTGGTTCAAACCAGATGGGCTACTTCTCTGCTCCATGAAGTCAAGCTGCTCTGAACACCAACTGCTCTAACTGGCCTCAGCCTCTTGGGTCCACTCTGCCTTTCACAGTTCTTCCTTCTGACATCATGAAGACATCATGTGCAAACCTCAGTTGCTTTGCTGAAACCCTGAAAACCTTCAAGGGCTAGTTTTTGGAGAACTGGCTCCATGAGAATATTCTGGATTCAAATCTCTGCTACTACTCAGTAACTGTGTGATTTCAGACAAGTTATTTAACCTCTCTGTACCTCAACCACAGAATGGGAAAACAAATTGATAGGGAGTCATGTAAGGCGCTGAGCACAATGCCTGGCATACAGTAAGCACCCAAGAAATCCTAATCCTAGCTTTTTTTTTTTTTTTTTTTTGAGACAGAGTCTAGCTTTGTCTCCCAGGCTGCAGTGCAGGGGCAGGATCTTGGCTCACTGCAACCTCCGCAGGCTGGGCAGGACGGTTCAAGCAATTCTCCTGCTTCAGCCACCCCAGCAACTGGGATTACAGGCTCTGCCACCACCATGCACAGCTAATTTTTGTATTTTTAGTAAAGACAGGGTTTCACCAGGTTGGCCAGGCTGGTCTTGAGCTCCCCTCCTCAAGCGATCCGCCTGCCGTGGCCTCCCAAAGCGCTGAGATTACAGGTGTGAGCCACCGGGCCCAGGCGGAAATGCTAGTTTCTATCATTAAGCCATCAGCATCACGAATGAAGGCCTTCTTGCTAGCTTCTTGAACTGCTGTTAAAAGCAACTAACCATCCACCATAGAAAAATGCCAAGGAATAACTCAGACAGCTTATCATGACCTTCCAATCGTAATGACGAAAAATTTAAGGGATATGATACATAATTGAAAATATGCTGGCTGGGCGTGGTGCTTCACACCTAAAATACCAGCACTTTGGAAGAGTTAAGCAGGATATGGTTTGAGCCCAGGAGTTCGAGGCCAGCCTGGGCAACATAGCGGGACCGCTGTCTTTACAAAAGGTTCAAAAATTAGCCAGGTGTGGTGGTGCACACCTGTGGTCCCAGCTGCTCAGGAGGCTGAGGCATGAGGCTCGCCTGAGCCCAAGAGGTAGAGGCTGCAGGGAGCCGTGTTTGTGCCACCGCACTCCAGCCTGGGCAACCAAGCAATTAATAAAATAATCTTAATAAAAGATTAAGATTATTTTATTATTATTAATAAAATAATCTTTTATTAAAGTGAAAAAATAAAAAATACGCCCATTTGACACCAGTTTTCCCTCATCTGCTGCCTTTCATGAGCTATGGGCCTGTTGGGGGTACTGGGGGAGTGGGCAAGGATTTCTCCAGAAGTTCTCACTTCTGGATAAGCATTCAAGGTTGGGTGAGCTGATTTTCAGAGACCCAAAGAAGTCTGCCTCTGGAAAACCGTTCACTGGATCCGGGTACAGGACACGCTGTGTGAAACCCGAGGGCCAATCAACGCCAAGGATTAAGCAGGACCAGGGGAAGGCACGGAGTTCCCCCTCTCCTGGAACTCAGTGTCGGGAAGTCCAGGGAAAGGGCCGCTCAGCCGCTCGGAGCGAGCCTGGAGGGAGCCCGGCCGCCAGGCCCGGGGGCTCCGCGCGGTCTGGGGCCCGGAGGCAGCGCGGGATGGAGGCGCCGGGGCGGGGGCGGGGGCGGGGGCGGCGGCGGGGCCGGCGGGGGGCGCTTACTTCCTCTCGCGCGGCGGCGCAGGCCGCTCCTCCGGTTCGCGGCCGGGGCAGCGCTAAGGGCCGGGCCCGCTCCCCGGGGCTTCCCTGCGCCCCAGGCCGCGCCTCCTCTTCCGCAGGGCCCGTCACCCGGACAGGTGCGCGCGTCACGCGGCTACGCGCCTCACGACGCTTGGATACCACCCGCAGAGCCCGCGGCGACAGCAGGGGAGGGCGCGAGGCCAAGGCTGGCCCGGCCGCCACGCCGCCCCAGGCCTGAGGTCTCAGGCCTCCGGGGCCTTGGGCGCAGCGGGCCCGGGGCCGGGGCGCAGGCGAGGCCACGCCCCCCGCTGGCGGCCGCTGGGGCGGGGCCTCGGAGCTTCCGGGGCGCAGCGGTGCGTCCGTCTGCCCCCGCTTTTCCCTCCGGCCCGGGGGTCTCCGTGCATCCTAGAGCTGTCCTGCCGCGTCCGAGACGCGCGCGGGCCCCAGAAGTGGCCGAGGGACGTGGTTGTGTCGTGGAGGGGACCTGGGGTGCTGGCTGCTCCCCACGATCTGGCACCCGCTCTGGGACTCCCCAGGTCTGGCTTTTCTCCGTCTGTAGAATGAGTTGCTCCGTCCTTCCGTCTTTAATATCCAGAGTAGGGATTTAGGGGTCGGAGCGCGCACGCCTGCCACGCCTCAGTGCACAGCTTCAAATCTCTTCCGCCCCTTATCACTTGCGTGACCTTGAGCTCAGTTTCTTCATCTGTACAGTGGGGACGATGGGAGTAC